TTTCAATTGACCGATCTTCAACTTCTCTTCCCCCTCTTTTTCCTCCCTCCTGCTCAAATCTACTGTTGAACCCCTCTAATGGATTTTCTATTTCAGTTATTGTATTTTTCAGTTCCAGAATTTCCATGTTTCCTATTATAGTTTCTGTCTCTTATCGCATCTATTTGATAAGACATTGTTTTCTTACTTTTAGTTCTTTAAGCATGGTTTTCCTTTAGTTCTTTGAACATACTTGAACTAGTAATTCAGAGTCTTTGTCTAGCAGTCTGACATCTGGACTTCTCAGCGACAGCTTCTGTTGACTGCTTTTCTTTCTCTGTATTGGCTATATTTTCTTATTTCTTTTATATATTTCATAATTGAAAATTTGAGCTTTTTAACTCAAGTCATGAGTTCATACTGTTACTTCCTATTCATAGTTAGGATTACAGGATATTTACTTATCTTTTACACTTCTCTTTTATCTTACACTGAAATTCTCGGTTTTTGACATTAAGAATGATTTATTCATGTCACAATATACATAAGTAATTGAAAATAATATTACTACTAATAAAGCTACTGATGTTCAACAAGGTCAGAAGAGCAATGCATGAACAAAATGAGAATTTCAACAAAGAGATAGAAAATATAAAAAAGTGTCAACATAAATAAGAGCTGAAGGATATATAACTAAACTGAAAAATTCACTAGAGGGGTTCAACAGCAGACTACATCAAATGGAAAGAAGGATTAGTGAACTAAAAGGGCAGTGGAATTCATCCAATCAGAGGAGCAAAAAGAAAAAAGGATGAGAAATAGTGAAGATAGCTTAAGGGATTTATAGGGCACCATAAGAGGACTAATATACACATTATAGGGGTCCTAGAAGAAGAAGAGAGAAAGGGTAAGAAAGTTTATTCAAGAAAAAATGGCTGAAAAATGTCTTGAGACAAACATACCAAAACTTATGGGATGCAGCAAAAGCAATTCTAAGAGGAAACTTCATAGCAATAAATACCAAATTAAGAAAAAAGAAAAATCTCAAATAAACCACCGAACTTTACACCTCAAGGAACCTGATAAAGAACAAACTAAGCCCAAAGTCAGCAGAAGAAAGGAAATAATAAGCATCAGAGCATAAATAAATGAAATAGAGACTAAAAAGACAAAGAAATACAATTATAAATGAAAGAGAAGACATTTCAACTGATGCCACATAAATGCAAAGGATCATAAGAGAATACTATGAACAATTATATACCAGCAAATAGGACAGCCTAGAAGAAATGGATAAATTCCTAGAAACATACAATTAAGCAAGACTGAATCATGAAGATTAGAAAATCTGAACAAATTATTAGTGAGGAGATTGAATCATTAATCAAAAACCTCCCAACAAACAAAAGTCCAGGACCAGATGGCTTTAATGGTGAATTTTACCAAACATTTAAAGATGAATTAATAACAATCCTTCTCAAACTCTTCAAAAAAACTGAAAAGAAGAGATCACTTCCAAACTCATTTTATGAGACCAGCATTACCCTGATATCAAAATCAGACAAGGACACTACAAGAAATGAAAATTACTGGCCAATATGCCTGATGAACATAGATGCAAAAATTCTCGACAAAATATTAGCAAACCAAATTCAACAGTACATTAAAAGGATCATACACCATGATCAATTGGGATTTATCCCAGGGATACTAGGATGGTTCAACGTACACAATCAATCAATGCAATACTCCACTTGAACAAAATAAAGGATAAAAATCATATGATTACCTCAATAGGTACAGAAAAAGCATTTGACAAACATCAACATCCTTTCATGGTAATCTCTCAAAAAACTGAATGTAGAAGGAGTACCTCAACATAACAAAGACCATATATGAGAAGGCCACTGCTGACATCATACTCAACAATCAAAAGCTGAAAGCTTTTCCTCTAAGATCAGGAACAAGACAAGGGTGCCCACTTGCCACTTTTATTCAACATATTACTGGAAATCCTAGTCAAAGCAATCAGGCAAGAAAAAGAAAGCAAAAATATCCAAATTGGAAAAGGAGAAGTAAAATCATCACTATTTGCAGATGACATGCTATTAAATATAGAAAACCCTAAAGACTCCACCAAAAAATTGATAACACTAATGGACAAATTCCGTAAAGTTGCAGGATACATCAGTATACAAAAGTCTGTTGCATTTCTATACACCAACAATGAACTAACAGAAAGAGAAATTAAGGAAATAATCCTATTCACAATAGCATCAAAGAGAATAAAATGTCTAGGAATAAATTTAACCAAGGAGGTAAAAGATCTGTACATAGAAAACTATAAGACATTGATGAAAAGATATTGCAGAAGACACAAATAAATGGAAAGATATTACATATTCATGGATTGGGAGAATTAATATTGTTAAAATATCCATATTACCCAAAGTAATCTACAGATTTAATTCAATCCCTATCAAAATTCCAATGGCATTTTTCACAGTAATAGAAAAAAACAATCCTAAAATTCACATGGAAACACAAAAGACCCCAAATAGTCAAAGCAATCTCGAGAATGAAGAACAAAGCTGGAGTCACCACAATTCCTGATTTCACACTATATTACAAAGCTGTAGTAATCAAAACAGTATGGTGCTGGCATCAAAAAAGACACACAGATCAGTGGAACAGAATACAGAACCCAGAAATAAACCCATGCAAATACGGTCAATTAATTTTTGACAAAGGAGTCAATACTATATAATGGGGGAATGACAGTCTCTTCAATAAATGGTGATGGGAAATCTGGATATCACATGTGAAAGAATGAAACTGGACCCCTCTCTTACACCACACACAAAAATCAACTCACAGTGGATTACAGTCTTGAACGTAAGACCTGAAACTATAAACCTCCTAGAAGAAAACATAGGGGGTAAGCTTCTTCATGTTGGTCTTGACAATGATTTCTTGGATTTGACACCAATAGCAAAGGCAACAAAAGCAAAATAAACAAGTGTGACTGCATCAAATTAAAAATTTTCTGCATGGCAAAGGAAACCATCAACAAAGTGAAAAGGCAACCTATGGAATGGGAGAAAATATTTGCAAACCACATATCCAGTAAGAGGTTAGTATCCAAAATATACAAGGAACTCATACAACTGAATAGCAAGAAAGCAAATAACCTAATTAAATTTGGCAAAGGATCTGAATAGACATTTTTACAAAGAGCCAACAAGTACCTGAAAGATGTTCAACATCACTAATCATCAGGGAAATGCAAATCAAAACCACAACGAGATCACCTCACATCTGTTAGGATGTCTATTATCAAAAAGACAAGAGGTAACAAATACTGGCAAGAATGTTGAGAAGAGGGAACCCTTGTGCACTGTTGGTGACAATGTAAACTGGTACAGCCATTAAGGAAAACAGTATGGTGGTTCTTCAAAAAAGTAAAAATAGAACTACCATATGATCCAACAGTTCCGCTTCTGGGTATATATCCAAAGGAATTGAAATCAGGATCTTGAAGAGATATCTGCACTCCAATTTCATTGCAGCATTACTCACAATAGGCAAGGTGTGGAGACAACCTAAGTGTCCATCACCAGATGAAGAATAAAGAAGATGTGCTATGTGTATACACACACACACAGGAATATCATTCAACCTTAAAAAAAGGAAATCCTGCCATTTGTGACAACACAGATGAACCTGGAGGGTATTATGTGAAATAAGTGATTTATTAAGTGAAATAAGTCGGACAGAGAAAGACAAATATAGCATGGTGTCACTTATATGTGGAATCAAAAACAAAAACAAACAAAAGTTGAACTCATAGAAACAGAATAGAAAAGTGGTTGTGAGAGGCTAGGGGTTGGGGAAAATGAGAAGAGGTTGGTGAAAGTGTACAGTGTTTCAGTTATAAAATGAATAAGGTCTGAGGATCTAATGTATAACATGGTGACTATAGTTGCTAACATTGTATCATAGAATTGAAATTTGCTAAAAGAATAGAACTTAAAAGTTCTTTCCCAAAAAAACGTAACTATGTGAGGTGATGGATGTGTTAATTAACTCCATGGGGGCATCCTTTCACAATGTATACATATATCAAATCATCACGTTTTACACTTTAAATATCTTACGATTTTAACTGTCAGTTATACCTCAAATAAAGCTGAAAAAATTACCTACTGAATAATTGTTTTCTTAGTAGGTTGTTTTATCATGTTTTGTTTTTTGGTTTCTTTGCTACTTTGTCTGTTTATTGCCCTTAGGATATATCTGACTTGGGCTGTAAAGTCAAAATACTGTATTTTAGTCGAAAACTAGAAAGCACTCAAAGGCCCGTCAATGGCAGAATGGTTAATTTCTGTCATATTCATACAATGGAAAATTGTACTTAATGAATAAATACATGAATAACGTACAACTGCATGCAACAATATGGATGGGTATCCCAAATAGTGTTGAAGAAAAGAAGCAAGACCCAAATAAGCTTATACTGTAAAATTCCAAATACATGTGTGAGTGTGTGTTTAGTATAGTGTGTATGTATGTGTGTATTCTATTATATATAGTATAAAAGGAGGCAAAACTATCTATCTATATAAATATGCCAAACTCATCTCGTCTGGTAGAAGTTACTGTTGGGGGACAATGCCTGGGAGGAGGGACGAGGAAATTTGGGGGCAAATATATGTTTTGTTTCTTATTCGGATGCTTCTCACTTTGGTGTATTTCATTTGTAAACATTTATAAGCTGTAAAATTATGTGTACTTTTCTGTGTGTGTATTATACTGTAACAAAAAGTTTGCCTAAATTGTGCTTTAAAGTCAATTGAAATAGTTCCTTTCTGATGTGGTTATGGCACAGCTGAATGTAGAGTTAGATTAGACTTCTTTTAAAACTAATTTGCATTCATATTTACACGCAGATACCCAAAATATGAGACTGATAGCCTAGATAACGCTCTCCATAGCCATGAACTCACTCCTTGATTTCTCAGGAGAACCTGTGCCTGTCAAGGGCTGGACCCCGACACCTGCGGTGCCTCCTTCTCCTTTGGTTGTTCGTGGAGCATGTACTACAATGGATGTAAGTTTGCCAGAAGCAAGATCCCAAGAAAATTTAAGCTGCTTGGGGATGACCCAAAAGAGGTTTGTTTACTTCCTGATGTATAATCTCTTTATTTTTCATGGAGAATTGATGAGCACAGATGAAGTGAACAGTATGACATACTGCATTAAACTCTCATTAACACAGAGAATTTTATCTCAGATGAATCAACAAAATTTTGGCTAAACTATAGTCATACACTATAATATTTTATAAAGTTAGCATAATAATAATGTGATACCAAAGTAATAAATAAAGTTGGAGCAACATAAATTCTTCATACCTATGGACTTTTATATTTATTCTTTATTTTTTATGTTAATTCCAGAGTTTTAAACAGCTATCACTTCAGTATTAAAACTTAATGTTAACGCTTATGTGTTAAAGCTCATCTTTTGAACTTGAATTATAGGAGTCTTGCTCATGAGTGACACATTCAGAAAAGGCCATTTGTAGTCACATTTTCACACCATGAGATTTAATAGTTTAGAGTTACTATAATGAACACATTCAAGTAACTAAAATATATTTATATTTTAATATAAAAGTGTAATTCAAATAAATGAACAGTGATTTCTCATTGAATTCACTGGTTTTTGTCTTTTCTCTAGAATATATATTTCTCAAAATATAACTTACAGATTGGTATCAAATTTAACAACTTTGGGTAGCATGTGTTCTAGAGTATGCTAATTGAATAACCAGAAAACCTCAGTATAGTTAGTATTTAGATATGACCAAATTTTTAATGACTATGCACCTTATAATTATCTTTCAAATTTTGAATCCAATTGAAATATATAGTTATACTGTGTATGTCACAATATTGATGTGTCCCTCTAAATAAAAGCTTGTTAACTTTGTTATTTATGACAATAATAGTAACTGGAAGTTTAATAAAGTGCAAAAACTCTTGAAATCACAATATAAATTTTTTCATAGGATTATAATATTTTTAATAAACTACAATACTTAAATGTGCTAGGGTCTGTTCTCTTTTCATAAGAGAAAAATACAAGTATTTAATAAGCCTAATGAAGACTAGCAATTTTGCATGCTGTCAGCCACTTTAATTTTCCACACTAGAGAGCATTTTCACTGCTATTTCGTAAATGTTTATCATTCTAACCACGTTTCATGTAAACCAAATCCAGGGCATGGCTAGTACCGTCCTCCCTCAGTTAGGTAGGAGGGCTTCGCTCAGAAACCTCCTCACCTCCTAAAATGCGACAAGCACATCTCTGCCAGTGGTTATGTCTCCTAAGATTTTTAGAGAAATATTAGTGTGAAATGAGAACTTCTAAGTATGAACAGAGCAACTGAGTATTATCACCTACCATTTTTAAAAGCAATATTGCTGGGAAAATCTGTGCTTTGTGGGAGGAAAGGAGTGTAACTGAACATTTTTCCTTTCAAGTAAACTTTACAAAGTTATTCATGTATACCGCATTCTAGGTCTGAGAATTTTATCCATATTTGAAGCATCTAGTAAGTGGAAAGATCATTTCAAATTTTGAGATGCTATTTTTATAAACATTTAAAAATATAAAGATTGTAAATAGACAAGATGAACCAAACAGATCCTTTCAGGAGCTCATCGTCCTGACAGCTCATTGGAGAGGGAGTGGAGATGTGCCCTGTTTAAGACCAGACGGCTTCATTCTCCTAACCCTGCTACCAGCAGGTTTATATTTATAAAATGTCAAATATTTGCATGCAAAGTAGAAAAATGATTAATCTTGTGAAAATACCAAAGAGCTAGATATTTAATGCACATACAAAAATAGGTGATATATGGTCTATATTTTCCACTTAGAAATACTGTTAAGATGCTTTAGTTATTTAATAAGACACTATATATTGTGTTTTGGATCCAAGATGTAGGGGGGGAAATATCTGATAGCCTCTCTCATATAGGGAGAGAGTGGATTTAGAATTTAATATGTAGAATTATTCATTTTATACAGGAGGAGAAACTGGAGTCTCATTTACAAAACTTGTCCACTCTTATGGCACCAACGTACAAGAAACTTGCACCTGATGCATATAATAATCAGGTAAGTTTAAATAATTATTGACGATGATTGGAACGGTTCACTTGCTCATTATTGATGACTAACCTACCTACTTCCAAAAATATTTTTGAAGCCGTGATTTTCCTTTATTTTTCTAACTTTGTCTCTTCCTAATTGTTGAAGCCACTGCAGCGTTCTGTTTCTGGTATATGAAAATATACCATCCAAAAGAGCATATTTTTTGGTCTTTTAGTCTGTAAAGATAATGAGCTTTTAAGGCTCACAAGCTTTTCTATCAGTCTTGTTCTCAAATGGATAATTTTGTCTCTGTAAGCAGACTTTGGTGATTAATTAAAATTATGTGACCCAGACTATAGGTTCTAACCACCTATCAACTGTTTCCACAGTCTATACATATAAAGCTATGGGTGCACTACTTTGTAAGTATACATACATGTGTCCAGATATGACAGGTTGCGCTAGATCCTTTTCTTTTTTTTGGCCTTGGCTCCATGAACCAAGCAAAAATATATATTTTTTCCTATTTTACCAGTGTGTTCTAGGCTGTGCCTATCTAGAAGGCTGGGTGACTTGTTCAGACTCATGGTGGGTGGGTGACTTCATGCTCATGAAGAAGGCAAAAGAGGGGCCAGCCTGGTGGCATAGTGAAGTTTGCATGTTCTGCTTCAGCAGCCCAGGGTTCGCAGGTTCAGATCCCAGGCGTGGACCTACCCACCACTCATCAATCCATGCTGTGGCAGCGTCCCACATACAAAATACAGGAAGATTGCCACAGATGTTAGCTCAGCAACAACCTTCCTCAAGCAAAAAGAGGAAGATTGGCAACAGATGTTAGCTCAGGGCCAATCTTCCTCACCAAAAAAAAAAGAAAGAAAGAAAAGGCAAAAGCAAAAGACCGTAAAGTCTTCCCTGTTTCGGTAACGTCAACAGCAAAAGCATTAAATGAAAACCTGTTCTGAACCAGACACTGTTTAGTCCTTGTGGATATAAAGACGAGCAATGTAGGCTCTCCGTCTTTAGGAATTCCTTGTTTAGAGGAGACGTGGATATGTGAAACAGCAATTTCAGAAGAAGACATAAGAGCTGGGATAGAGGTAGGCACACACTTCTGAAGGAAGAGACAGGTTTTCCCTGAAGGCAGAGTAGAGACGTAAGGTCACAAGTGGCCTTGGAGGCCATCTAGAGGTCTGTGAACTTTATCCTGTAGGTAAGAGGGTGACCACTGGGGGTTTGGGATGTATGTTGGGGGCAGGGGAGAGTGAAGTGATTTAATTTTAAAAGATCACTCAACAGCCAAATAAATGTAATATAACTTGGATTAGTGTAAGATTACATTAGAGAAAAAGTAAGCTATTGTAGTCTTTGGGCAAGAGATGTCAAGTCCTGAATTAAAGAAATGTCAGTAGTGATAGAGAAAAGGAAGTAAGTGTATGAAATATTTGAGGTAGAACTTCTAGAACTCAGTGACCAATTGGATTTAAGGATGAGCAAATGAGGCAATTTGAGGATCCACCAAATTTCTGGTTTGGACAGGTGGTTCTGTTAACAGCTGTCGGGAATCAGTGAGGAAAAGTAAGTTTAGGGGAGATGATGAATTTCATTTTGGATGTGCTGTTTTGACATACTTCTAGGATAATTAGATGGAAAATCAAGAGAAAAGTCCAGGCTAGTGCTGTAGATGGGGGAGTTATCAAAATGCGGGAAGGAGTTGAAGTTGAACACGTAGACGTGAAGGCAGTTTTTCACAGTGGAGATTGTAAAGAGGAGAAGGGCCTAATGGAATCGGGAGCACAGCCACATTTTAGGGGTGAGCAGAGGAAGAGAAACCAGTGAAGCAAGTGCTGGGTGAAGCGGTTCAAGATTTAAGGGAAGAGGGAATCTGACAGGTGGAGGAGAGCGGGAGGCGATGAGAAGGCTGGCAGAGCAGAGTGCACAGCAGCAGGGGCACGGGTGTGTGAAGGGCAGTGCATTTGCAGACATTGTCATTAATAACATGAACAACTCCCATGGGATTAGGTCAGTGAACATCACAGAGACAGGCAGGGGACCAATCCTAATTAATGATTTAGCTACTCTTGTTTCCCCTGTGAACATCAACACTTTCCCCACCCAAACCTCAATATTTTTTTAAGTGGGAGCAAAGGAGACAAATTTAATAATGATGGTCTGTTTATAAGCTGTTTTATGTCACAAATTTGGTTTTTAGAAATGGATGTGAATATCTATGAAAATTATTTTAAATGCTGTTAATAATAGTGAGATTAATAGTGTTATTTTATGACCATACCTATTTTAGTATCACAGAAAAGTATAAAGAATGCTTTGGTACTGTTGTAAAATAATTCTAGGTGAGAAACACAATAAATCAAGCTATAAAAAGAAGAAAATGAATTGAAGAAATTAAATGTTGCTAGATTTCAAGTTTGGCCATTTTCTGTTGAATGAATTTTTGTATAAGTATATTAATCCAATGGCTTTTAGCTGGGGAAAGGGACAGAATAACGAAGCATTGATGTTCTTTATACTCCTGTGATTCTTATTATAGACTGTCTCATACAAACCTGATTTTCTAAGCATTTATATTCTACCTTGTTACATTTTGTTTGGAGTATTTTATGCATTTCCTGAATCTGGAGTACCCAAAATACAAAGTTCCCCCAAATTTTTAAGTTATAACAAGATGATTAGGTATAATTTCTTAAATGTGTTTCAATATTTATATATGAATAAATGTGTAGATATACTAATCAGTGGGCATAAAGTTTCAGTTAAGCAGGATGAATAAGCTCTAGAGATCTGCTGTACAACATTTGTACCTGTAGTACAGTACAACAATAATGTATTGTGCACTTAAAAACTTGTTAAAAGGGTAGATCTCAAGTTAAATGTTCTTACCACAATAAATTACATATATACATATACTCATACATTAAAAATAGATGTAATGTCTATGTAAATTAAATCAATTAATGGCTGTGAATGGATAAGGTGTTTTTTATATTGCATGGTAGGTACTATTGGTAATATTCATCCATATATCTTACTATAGTTTAAAGATCCAAAAAACAGCCATGTGATCTTTCCACACAGTATATGGGAAGACCTTTTGAGGTTATGGATGCTGTCAAAACCTACCATTTGATTTTTGCCTTCTTCCCTCAACTGAATATATTATCTTTATTTCTCATATCTGAATGTTCTTCCGTGCTTTACTTCTTGATTTCATAGTTAAAGTCTTATTGCTAAAGTTAAGCTTCATTGGGTCTTCACAGAATTTCTTCTGTCAACTCCATGGAATTAGAACATAGGCTTTCTCAATTTAAATATTTTTTCTTTATATATATCCAGTAGACTTATATTTGATCTTTTATTTCTATGGTTGTCTTACCATTAAACTTTGGGCCTGAATTAGCAGGTTCAGATCTCAAAATCATGTGCTTTCATCATATATGGAGATGACATTTTAGGCCAATGGTGTCCAAGAGAACTTTCTATGACAATGGAAATATTCTCTGTCTACATTGTTCAGTGAAATAGCTACTAGCCACATGTGGTTATTGAACACTTGATATGTGGCTAGTGCAATTGAGTTAACGAATTTTTATTTTAATTTAATTAATTTAAATTTAAATAGCCACATGTGGCTAGTACCTACCATATTGAACAGCACAGCTTTACACCATCAGAAAGCCATGCACTTAGATTGTCTCACAGACATGGAGATGTATTTCCAGTGATCCATTCACAAATCCCTTCATTGGTATTTCTTGTGAGATGGCATATGTCTATCTGATGACCAACTAGATTTTATATACATTTCTATTAAAGGAACAGAATGAAGCTAACTAGAATACAGCATGGACTAAACAGTCACAAAGTACACAGAAATAGAATGGTCAACACCGTCACTTTCTTTTGGCCAGAGTCTTATAAGTTCCAGTATACGAATATGCTATGTGAACCAAATGGTAAATAATATTTGAGCCATCAAAAACTTTATCATGTTGTGAGTTCAGCTTCTAGCCATGATGGATTAACAGAGACTAGATTTACTTTCACACATTAAAAAAACAAAACAAAAAAAATATATGAAACAATGGCTTTTAGACATAGGACAATAAGAAGCACAAGATAGTAACACCAGAGAGGAGGGAAATGAAAAAGGTGAACCTATGATTACCCAGCCTTACTTCCTGAAGAGCACAATAGGCTCCAGGGCAGGGAGGAGGAACCTAAACAGACCCCAGGGTTATCTCTGTGTGAAGGAGACAAAGTTCAGCATTTGGGGAAGCCAAGGTGCTAGAATTCACCATTCAGGGTACCAGAGAGGAAATAGCTTCATTGAGAAGAGCTCCAGAGATCTGTAGAGTCTTCAGGTGAGTACTGAACAGTGCATGCCTGTGAAGAGATTACGAAGGCTGTGGAAAGAACCACCAAAAGGAACAGGCAGAATAATCCCTTGATTTCATACATGACCTGGAATTGTTCTTGTTAATATCATCCAGAAGGAAAAGACCTCCCTAGCACAGAAAATATCAGGTAGAGTATTCAGAATCTTATGGCCTTGGTAGCAGAAGTAGATTAGGCTATTCCGGTCCCAACTAAAAATGTTTAAAATCAAGACTTGAGGGCTGGCCTAGTGGTGTATTGGTTAAGTTCACCCACTCTGCTTTGGCGGCCCAGTGTTCGTGGGTTCAGATCTCAGGCATGGACCTACACACCACTTATCAAGCCATGCTGTGGCGGCAACCCACATACAAAATAGAGGAGGATTAGCACAGATGTTAGCTCAAGGCCAGTCTTCCTCACCAAAAAAACAAATAAATAAAATAAGTTTAAAAAAAAAAACTTGAAAGGATCAAGCTGATTCCAAGTAACTTAACAGCATCTCAGAACAAAAAATAAAAAAAAAAAAATCCCACAGACAAGAAGGTAAATTTTATAATGCCTAGCGTCCCATCAAAACTTACCAGGCATACAAAGAAATAAGAAAATATGACCCATAATGAAGAGGGGGAAAAAGCAATCAATAGAAATAGTTCCAGAAACGACATGTGATAAGAATATGTAGACAAGGACATTAAAATAGTTCTCATACATATATGCCATTTATTCAGGGCAACAGAGGAAAGTATGAGCATGATAAGGAAAGCCAAGAAGATATCAAGAAGACCCATTTGAATTTCTAGAGAGGAAAAATATATAATATCTGGATAAAAAAAATGCTAGATGGAATTAACAGCAGATTAGTGGACTTGAATACAGTAGAAATGTTCCAGTGTGAAATCAAGAGAAAAAGCAAAACTGGAAAAAAGAAAATAGATCAAAGGCCTATGGGACAATATTATTACACTAATATATGTGTAATTAGAGTCCCAGAAGGAGGTAGGGAACAGAAAAATATTTAAAGAAATAATGGCCAAAATTTTTTCAAATTTATTCAAAACTATAAACCCATTGATCCCAGAAGCTCATCAAGCCCAAATGGTGGGGGGGGGGGAGCGGGGGGGGCGGGGAGGGGAGGTTAAGAGATGAAGAAAACTACATAAAGGTACATTAAAATCAATTTGCTTAAAGTCAATGACAAAGAGAAAATGTAAAAAGCAGATGGAGAAAAAAATGACATATTACATATAGTGAGGAAAATGATAATAAACACAAGAGACAGAGGAAACTCAAGAGGAAAATGCAAGAAAGAGGACAGAGGAGAAACATCTTTAAAGTACTGAAAGAAAAAAAACTGTCAACCTAGAAATCTATAACCAGTAAAAACAACTCTCAAGAGTGAAGGCAAAATAAAGATTTGTTTTCAGACATATAAAAGCTGAAATAATTTACCACCAGCAGACTAGCACTTCAAAAATGTTAAAAGAAGCCCTTCAGTAGAAAGAAAATGATAACAGATAGAAATCTGGATTGACTAAAAGGAATGAAAAACATCATAAATGCTAGGTATGTCAGCAGAAAGACTTTATCTTAAAAATGTCTTTAAAATATAATTTGCTTTTTAAAAAATATATTAACAATGTACTTTGAGGTTTATAACATAGAAGTAGCACAGAGGCTGGGGAATTGGAAGTATACTGTTGGAAGGTTCTTTTATAGAGAGTGGTGTAATATTACTTGAATGTAGACTGTGAGAAGTTACAGAGTACACTGTAAATCTCAAAGCAAGCAGCTGCTAAAAAAAATGTATAGCTAATGCACCAGTAAAGAGATAAAAATGGAATCAATCCAAAAAAGTTTTTAAAAAGAATATGGAACCAAAAAAAAAAAGATAAGACAAATATAAAACAAATAGCAAGATGGTATATCTAATCCCAACCATATCAAAGACCCCATTAAATGGAAATGGTTTTTAACACTCCCAATAAAAGGCAGAGCTTGTGATATTGAATAATCACATTGATACTGAAGAAGTGTGTTGTTGAGAAAAGCAAGAATCAAGAAATATCATGCTAATATAAATCAAAAGAAAGCTGGAATGATTATATTAATAGCAGACAAAGTAGATTTCATGGCAAAGAATGTTATAAAGTTTAAAGAGGATCATTTAATGTGATGATAAAGAGAAAAGGGTCAGTTCATCAAGAGAACATGATAATCCTAACTATGTATGCATCTAATAACAGAGCTTCAAATTTTATTGAACATAAACTGATAGAGCTAAAAGAAGAAACAAATCCACAGTTACAGTCAGAGATTTCAATTATCTCTCTCAATAACTGTCAGAATTAATAGACAGAAAATCAGAAGGAGGGAAATTTGAACAACACTTTTAACCAACTTGACCTTATTGGCATGTATAGAACTCCCCACCCAGCAGAATCAACAATTTCAAGGGTACAAGGATGATTTACCAAGATAGATTATATTCTCGATCATTAAACAAGCATCAATAAATTTAAAAGCCTCCAAGTATGTTCTCTGACCACAATGAAATCAAATTAACTTAAAAATCTATACCAGAGGGATATCTACAAAATCCTTAAATATCTGGAAACTGAGCAACATATTTCTAAATGACCTATTGGCCCAGGAATAAATCACAAGGGAAATTAGAAAGTATTTCAAACTGAATGAAAATGAAGACATGACATTGAAATTTGTGAAATGCAGCTATAAAGCCTTGCTTAGAGAGACACTTCTATCACTGACCACTTATATTAGAAAAACATAAAGGCTCAAATCAATGATCTATGCTTCTAACCCAAGGAACTTGGAAAAAGAGAGCAGTTTTAGCCCTGAAAGGCAGAAGGAAAAAAAAAATAAAGATAAGCACAGAAACCAATGAAATAGAATACAGAAAACAAGAGAATAAATCACTGAAACCAAAAGCTAGTACTTTGAGTCAATTCCATCAGGAAAAAAGAGAAGACACAAATTGCCAATATCAAGAATTAGAGATAAGACATCACTGCAGATCCTACAGACATTAAAAGAAAAAGACATTATTAAAACTTTATGCCAATAAATTCAACAACTTAGATGAAATGGGCAGTCCTTGAAAAACACAAGTTACCAAAGCTTTATAAAGAAAAAAATGATACCATGAATAGTCCTATATCTATTAAAGAAATTGAATTTGTAGTTAAAAGCTTTCCCAAAAAGAAAATTCCAGGCCCAGATGATTTTCCTTCCAAATTTGACCCATTATTTAAGGAAGAAATAATAACAATTCGATGGAAACGCTTCTAGAAAATAGAAAATGAGTAAACACTTCCCAACTCATTCTATGAATCTGGAAATATCCTAATACTAGAACCAGACCAAGGCATTAAAGAAAAAACTACAGTCCAATGTTCTTCATAAATATTGATGTGAAAATTCTTAACAAAACTTTAACAAATTAGATCTGACTGTGTAAAAGGGATAATATATCACAACCAGATGGAGTTTATTTCAGGAACGCTTGGTTCATTTAACACCAAAAATCAGTGATTCACCATAGTAACTGGCATAACAGGGGAAAAAATATGATTATCTCAATAGATTTTAAAAGCATTTGACAAAATTCCACATCCATAGAAGGGAATTTTCTTCATCATACTTAATGGTGAAAGACTGAATACTTTACCCCTAAGGTTAGGAACAAGACAAAGACGTCCATTCTCACCACTTCTGTTTAACATCTAACTGGAAGTTTTAGACAGTGCAATAGACAAGAAACAGAAATAAAAAGCATAAAGATTGGATAGAAAGAAATAAAACTGTTCTTATTTATAGACAATATGCTTATCTACATAGAAAGTCCCAAAAAAATCTACAAAAAAAACTCCTAGAACTAATAAATGGTTTAGCAAAGTTGCAAAGTACAAAAATCAATTGTATTTCTATATATTAGCAATAAACAATTAAAAATTGAAATGAAAATGAATAGCAATTAAAATAGCATCAAAAATATGAAATTTTTAGGCATACATTTGACAAGAATGTGTAAGACCTGTGCACTAAAAACTACAAAACATTGCTGAGAGAAATTATAAAAGACCTAAATATCTGGAGAGCTATACTATGCTCATGGATCACAAGACTAAATATTGCTAAGATGGCAATATTCCCCAAATTAATCAGTAGATTCAATCTCAGTAGATGTTTTGAAGGAATCAACAAGGGGATTCTAAAATATATAGAAAGAAATACAAAGGACCTGGAATAGTCAAACAGTTTTTTTAAAAAAGAACAGAGTTTGATGATTTATACTCCCTGATTTCAAGATTTACTAAAAATCTACATTTACTAGTAATTCAAGACAGTTGGTATTGGTATATGTACACATACATACACAGACACACGCCAACACACCATTTTATACCAAAAGACCAGAATAGAGAGTCCAGAAATAGATCCAGTATATATGGTCAATTGGTTTTCAACAAAGATGATTCAATGAGGAAAGAATAATCTTTTTACTCAGTAGTATTTGGACAGTTGGATAGCCATATGGAAGAAAATTAACCTTGACTCTTAACCTCACACCATATATAAAAATTAACTCAAAATGGATCCATTTATATAAAATTCTAGAAAATGCAAACTAATCTGTAGTGACAGAAAGCAGATCAGTAGTTGCCTGGGAACAAAGAGGAAGGCATGAATTACAAAGGGGTATGAGAAAACTTTTGGCAGTGATGGATATATACAGTATTTTGATTGCGGCAATGGTTTCATATATACATATGTCAAAACTCATTAAATAGTATACCTTAAATATATGCTATTTAATGTATGCCAATTATAACTCAATAGCACTGTAAAATAAAAACTTTACCATGTCAAGAGATTTGCTCTATTTTTGCGTCATTCCATTGTATTTCTGGATATAAAATATGCAACGTTTTTTAAAGTTCTAATATAGCCTAAATACTAAGGAGTCTTTTGACCTGTTCAGTGCACAGATCTTGTACTTCTTTGTCAGATGTATGCCCAAGAATTTCAAATGCCTAAGTACTTACCCACTCACACACATGCTTTTATTTTTCAGATTGAATATGAACACAGAGCACCCGAGTGCCGTCTGGGTCTGAAAGAAGGCCGTCCATTCTCAGGGGTCACCGCCTGTTTGGACTTCTGTGCTCACGCCCACAGAGACTTGCACAACATGCAGAATGGCAGCACCTTGGTGAGTGGAGCTGAGGACAGATTGGCAGCAGTCCTGTTGAAGAGCGGAGGGCTGCAAGTTACGGCACTACATTAGAGTAATATGTTCTCTGCGGTTGTCACTGCCCAGCGGTGTTTTCATGAATGAAGTGCTTGTTTGGCATAACTAGTACTCTCATAAAAGGTTGGCACGTTCATGGAAAACTGTGTTGACAAGCACATGGAAATCATGGAAATTCTTGGTGCTAATCTAAACCAGTGACTATGCGTTGCCAGCTATAATTAGCTGCCAAAAAAATCCTTCAAAATTCAGTATCAGATATCTGGTAGGTTATAATCAGTTACGCAAAAAGCCATATTCAAGCCAAGGTACCAATTCACCTTCCAGAGACAAGTACAAATGAAAAATGCATCGTCATTCTCACAGTAACTACTATAGAAGGTTCCAAGTGTGAAAGAGCCCATTATGACAACATATTACAGCGGGTGAAATGGATTGGGCCTTATAATTGGAGGCTATGATAAGGGGAGAAAAGGGATCCAGTCTTAGGATGGAGCAGTGTTCCACACTGACAGATTCCAGGGTGAGGCCTTGCTTACAGACGGATGCTTCAGAGTGGAGATAAATAATGAAAAAGTTCAAGTGAGGAAACTATAAATTAATAATCTAATGATTCATCAACATGGATATAGGTGAGTTGAGGAAGATGATCAATGAGACTTAAGATGAAGGATAGAAGAGAGAAACTAAAGTGTTATTCTAGGGTAGAAAAGAATTCGAGGAGGCAGTAGACAACAGTAGAAGTGATTTGAGGAAACCGCTGCGAAGTGTTTGTTGAGAAGCAGAGAAGGTATTGGTTTAATGGTCTAGAGCAGGGTCGGAAAACTTCTTTATTAAAGGCAAGATAGTAAATATTTTAGGCTTTGCAGGTCACACAGGGTCTCTGTCACATTCTCTGTTTGGGGTTTTTTAATAAAAAATTCTTTCAAAATGCAAAAACTATTAGTTCTCTGGCCATACGATACCAGGCTGCAAGGCAGATTGGGCACAGGTCTTAGTTTGCTGACTTCTAATCCAGGAGAACAAACACAAAGTGTATCATCTGCAATATCAAAAATGATCACCAATCATGTGTTGAGCACTGCTCGTTGTTAGGAGGCTCTGCTAGATTCTGGGAAGTAGACGAAGTAGGTAATAGCCGGAGCTCTAGTAGGGCCTGAGGATGACCACATTTCACTCCAGCAAGGTGATGGAGAGGGGGCAGAGGATGGGATAGATGATTTGAATGAAGAGGAATTTGCCTCTGATGGGTCACAGGTTCTGTGAGGTGAAATGGACAGAAGCACGGGATAAGAAGGACTGAGTAGGGACAATTGTGTGTGGGAAAAGATGACAAGTGCTCAGAGACATGGATTTGGAAGACTTTTATGTGTGAGAAGTGAAAACTCATTTTAATACCATCTCATGTTAAACTTATTTATAAAGGTAAGTCTGTTATAATCACAATCACATTCCTTTCAAGAGTATCTTCCAGTGATTTTATATTACCTTAGATTTTAAATAACCATGGTTACATTTTCTCCATTAATCAAAAATACTAAATGCTAAAAGCCTAGTATTTTAGAACCAACAAATAATCTTTCATCAAAACCAATATGATTGTGGCTAACAAAAGAAAAAGAGTACCCTTAAATTATCAACAGAAGTAGCTTTTTTTTTCCTTTTCAGAGTGCTGCCTGGTATGTAGTGATATTTCAGAAGGAAATGAGAGAGAAGAGAAACAGTAAGTTAGATTTAACAGAGCACAGAGAAGGGGAGATAGGGGAGAAATAGTGTTAGGTTACATGTGACCAGGATCAGCTGAACCTTCAGTTTTACATTATTTCGATTTCACTTTGGGATCTTGTGGAAATTTCTTAAACACACTGAAGGAGAGTTAGGAGTCAAGTGTGAGGAAAGATGTGAAATATCTCTGCGTACAAAAGTATGAGATAAGGTGAGTGTGATATTCCCAAACACAGAGGAAGCCATTTGGTAGAAGAAACTTTTGGCCTGGTTTTAAAAAGGCTTCACATGAAAAGTGGGAGACTGCTTCATTTTGCTGGGAGTGTTGCTTCTTCCCTTAGAGTCAGAAATGTATGTGAAGAACAGAGTCACCACAGGTAACAGTTCCTGATAGACAAGTTTGTGCTATTTTTTTTGAGTCTATCTCCCTGTACCATGTTGATGCGGTCGTTAATCACAGGCAGGCATGGTTTCATGGTAACATGCACGTCACTGATCTGATCCAGTTGGCCACCACTACAAATCTAAATCCTGAGAGGGAGAAAGACACACACACACACAGAGGAACACACACACACGGGAACACACCCACTCTCCTCTTGGACTGAAGCTGAGGCTGTCCTGTCTCTCTCCCTGCCAGGTGTGCACCCTCACAAGAGAAGACAATCGAGAAATTGGAGGGAAGCCCGAGGATGAGCAGCTCCACGTTCTGCCTCTCTACAAAGTCTCTGACGTGGATGAGTTTGGGAGTGTAGACGCTCAGGAGGAGAAAAAGCGAAATGGTGCCATTCAGGTACTGAGTTCTTTCCGGCGGAAAGTCAGGATGTTAGCAGAGCCAGTCAAGACGTGCCGACAAAAGAAACTGGAAGCCAAGAAAGCCGCGGCTGAGAAGCTGTCCTCCCTGGAGAACAGCGCAAATAAGAGCGAGAAGGAAAAGCCAGCCTTGTCTCGTGCAAAACAGACTGAAAATGGAAGCCAGGCTAAACAGTTGGCAGGTAAATTTAACGTGAAGCGTTGTAGAGACATGTGTCATATGATACTTATGTTAAAAACGAACGTTCATTTGGAAGGTTACGTTCAATCACAGTCTCAGTTCTGCACCAGAATCTTCTCTCCAGAGCAAGGGACAGGCTTTGCTCTTGGAGATGGCAATGAGATATCATACCATCAAGCCCAGATTGATGGGGAAGTTTGGATTTTATTCTATAATAAATGGCAAAGTTTTATGATAGGTAGTAATATGGTGAAATTAGCATTAATCTAGCAGTGGCAGGTAGGCCAAACTAGAGGTGGAGGAGACAGATTCAGTAAACCAAGGGTGAGGTCATAAGAGCTTGAATGTGGCAGTAGCAATGAAGATTTAGCAAAAATGATGGAAGTGAATTCTTCCAAAATAAATATCAATACATTGACGACAAAACTTTGGAATAGAGAAGAAAAATTTAAGGATGACAACAAAGTTTTAAGCCTAGATAACTAAAACAGTACTGTTTATTGAAATAAGTTTGAAAATAGGATTTATGGGGGTGGAGGAGAACAAGATTTTTTTCCTCAGTGATATTGAGTCTGAGATTTAGGAAGGGGATCCACATGTAGTTATCCTATAAGCTTGTAGCCATCAAAATAGATCACATCTATAGAAGCAGCAATAGGGCATTATTTATCAATACTAAGTTGATATTTTCTTTCCAGAGCCCCTTGCTTTATGTCTGCAGTTAATACTCTAAAAAATCATACAACAATGTAATGTCTGTATCCAAATTTTAGTGATGGTATTGGCCTGCCATTATCAAAAGAAAAATGTGTGTCTTTTAAGTGTAGTGTACCAATTTGCTTAGAACCAACCATTTTTGCTTCACAAAGTCAAATTTCCTTACCGGTTTTTCAAAGCTCAGAGAAACTAATTTAGAATAATATGCTAAAGATGTTTAATAAGTATTTGTTGATTGGTTGACTTGCACTAAGAGAAGTAAACCCTGTTCTCTCCCTGGTAGCTCCTCTCAGTCAGCTGTAAAGTGAAGTCGGGTGGAACTTGTCTGTGGTCCCGTCTAACTGGATTCTGTGGTCATTGTTTCAATTCTGGACTGCCACTGCAGCTCCATTTATCTGCTCTTATCTCATATTACTTTTTTAGTGAGGTCATGAAACAGAAGTGTGACTTTTAAAAGTTTTACTTACAAGGCTGAAATTTTCTTAAAGTTTTATGTGCAACCATATAAATTTCCTTTCTGGAAAGTGTGCTAATGAAAAAGGGATTGCCAATTATACAAGGTGCTTTGAGTGTTTAAATGAATGTCTTTCTTTTTCTCATAGCACTGCTGAATCTTCCACAACAAATTTTATACTACTTTATTTTAACTATTTAACAAATTTTATTGCATGCCAGGCAATGGATAAATAAAGTGAAATAAGACATGGTCCCTTCCCTCAAGGAACTACTTTGCAGTGGGGTGAAGAGGGGACTAAAAACGGATATTTACAATAGGTTATGACCATGGCTTATCTGACTTGTGTTTGCAGGGGATATCACAAAGCACTGGAAGGTGAAGTCATAGAGGCTTCCTTGAGGAGGGGATGACTGTGCCGAGGAAGGGCAGGGAGGTGGGGTGGAGGGAGGAGGGCGCTTCAGGCAGGCAGTGAGGCACACTCAAAGCACAGATGCTGCAGGGGATGTGATGCTCGCAATGAGATGGCTTCTGGATGTTGGTTACATATTTCTTCACTTACCAGATTGTACTGTTATAAGGTCTGCCGTTTTATTTCTAAAACTTTAGACACAAAAAATTATGCCAGACATTATCAGAACCCTGACTTTGCCCTTGTCCTTGTTTGGTGGGGGTTGCATAATCCTGGTGGTGGTCCTCATGTGCATTTAAGCACCTCACCAGCTTTCGTAAAATACTCATGAAGCATGTTTGTCCCCGCTCTCTCTTGTCCTGTCCACAGAACTTCTGCGACTTTCAGGACCAGTCGTGCAGCAGTCTCAGCAGCCCCCGCCCCAGTCCCAACCCCAACAACTACAGAAGCAGCCTCCGCAGCCGCAGAAGCAGCCCCCACAGCCCCCACCGCCACAGCCCCCACAGCCGCAGCGACCCCAGCAGCCGCCGCATCACCCCTTGACCAGCGACCCTCAGTCAGAGGCTGTCAACTCTTACTCTTCTGGATCCTCCAATCTATATATGAGACGGTCCCATCCAGCTAGTCCTTATCCAGGCTCTTCGCACACCTCAGATATTTATGGAGGTGCCAGCCCTCTCAGCCTCTATTCCACCTCCTCCCAAGCTACAGGTTCATATTTGAATTCTTCTAATCCCATGAACCCCTACCCTGGGCTGTTGAATCAGAATAACCAGTATCCATCATATCAGTGCAATGGGAATGTATCAGTGGACGCCTGCTCCCCATATCTGGGTTCCTATTCTCCCCAGTCTCAGCCCATGGATCTATATAGGTATCCAAACCAAGACCCTCTCTCAAAGCTAAATCTACCACCCATCCATACACTTTACCAGCCGAGGTTGGGAAATAGCCAGAGTTTTCCTTCTCAGTACTTAGGTTACGGAAACCAAAGCATGCAGGGAGGAGCCTTCAGCAGCTGTACAATTAGAGCAAACACACACCATGCAGGGACGTTCCCTCCTTATTCCACTCATGAGATGGATGGCCACTTCATGGGAGCCACTGCTAGACTGCCACCCAATTTGAGCAATACAAACATAGACTATAAAAATGGTGAACATCACCCATCTTCTCACATAATCCACAACTATGGTGCAGTGCCGGGTTTGTTCGACAGCTCTCTTCACGCCCTGTGTCTCCAGAACCAGGAGAATGACATGCTTTCCCACACAGCTAATGGGTTGTCTAAGTTGCTTCCAGCTCTTAACCATGATAGGACTGCGTCTGTCCAAGAAGGCTTACACAAGTTACAGGATGACGGCAGTCAGGAAAAGCACCCTTCTGCCGCCGAGGACAATGAGGAGGTCTGGTCAGACAGTGAGCAGAGCTTTCTGGACCCTGACATTGGGGGCGTGGCTGTGGCTCCAACTCACGGGTCAATTCTCATCGAGTGTGCAAAGCGCGAGCTTCATGCCACAACCCCTTTAAAGAACCCCAACAGGAATCACCCCACCAGGATCTCGCTTGTCTTTTACCAGCATAAGAGCATGAATGAGCCGAAACATGGCTTGGCGCTCTGGGAAGCCAAAATGGCTGAAAAAGCCCGTGAGAAAGAGGAAGAGTGTGAAAAGTACGGCCCAGACTACGTGCCTCAGAAAACCCATGGCAAAAAAGTGAAACGGGAGCCCCCTGAGCCACATGAATCTTCCGAGCCCACTTACCTGCGCTTCATCAAGTCCCTTGCTGAGAGGACCATGTCCGTGACCACAGACTCCACAGTGACTACATCTCCGTATGCCTTCACTCGGGTCACAGGGCCTTACAACAGATACATATGATGTTGCCCCTTGGGGTGGTTACCTCATGTGAAAAGACCACAACCAACCTGTCCGTAGTGTAGTTCTCATGACCTGGGCGGTGGGGAAAGGACATGGTATTCATGACAAATGTGGTGGGAAGAACCTCAGCTCACCAGCAAAAAAAGAGGCCATCTCACCATAGCACTTAATTTCCACTGACGCCTAAGTGGTCACAGATGGCGTCTAGGCAAAAGACCAAAGCATTCTATGCCAGAAGGAGGTGGGGAAGAAGGTGTTGCACAATTTACATTTTTAAACACTGGTTCTATTATCTGACAAGATGATGTGTAAAGGTGACTTTTTTCCCCTTACAACACCACACATCTGTGACCACTTTTAATAATACCAAGTTTGCATAGTCATGGAACACAAATCAAACAAGTACTGTAGTATTACAGTGGCAGGAATTTTAAAATACCATCTGGTGCTGAACATATGATGTACTGAAATACTGGAATTATGGCTTTTTAATATGCAGTTTTTACTGTAATCTTAATATTAACTTTTATTTATCAAAATAGCTACAGTAAACATAAATGAATAGACAGTAAAACACTGAATTTGTTTGGATGTTCTAAGAAATGGTGCTAAGAAAATGGTGTCTTTACAGTTGAAAATTTAATGCCTTTATATCATCAAGATGCTATCAGTGTACTGCAGTGCCCTTGAATAATAGGGTACCTTTTCATTCAAGTTTTTATCATAATTACCTATTCTTACACAAGCTGAATTTTTAAAATGTGGACATTGTAAAGGCCTCTGGATTTTGCTCATCCAGTGCAGTCCTTTTAGGACAAGAAACGTATCTATGTACATATCTACACACGCATATGTATATGTGTACACACATGTATATATGGATATTTTAAATGGTGTTTTAGAAGCACTTTGTCTACCTAAGCTTGGACAACTTGAACAATGCTAAGGTACTGAGACGTTTAAAAAGAAGTTTACTTTCATTTTAGAATGCAAAGTTGATTTTTTTTAAGGAAACAAGGAAAGCTTTTAAAATATTTTTGCTTTTGGCCATGCATCTACTGATGAGCAATGTGTCCATTTTTAATACAACCAGTTACATCCAAAATGGGGCTTACTGGATCCAAGGGAATACATCAGTCCACAAAACACACGTTCTCTGGTGCTCATCTCACATGCTATACTGTAAAACAGTTTTATACAAAATTGTATGACAAGTTCATTGCTCAGATATGTAGAGGTTTAAGAATTTTCTCTTAACTGCAGGTAATAATTAACTGCATGCTGCAGACGCAACAAAGCTAGTTCACTTCAGCCCATGCTATTTTTTGGCTCTGTATGCTCTTCAGCGAACTGAACGGCAGTCTGCCTTTGTGTTGATAATTGTACATTGTGATGTTGGCATTTCTTAGCTTAAATGTCCTCTTTACCAGGAAGATTGAGCAGACGGATGCCTGCATAAGATGAATAAACAGGGTTAGTTCCATGTGAATCTATTAAAAAAAAAAAGGCAGCTGGTTTGCTGTGGTGGTTTTAAATCATTAATTTGTATAAAGAAGAAGTGAAAGAGATGTACAGTAAGTAAATTAAATTGTAAACGAAACTTTTGTAACGCAATGCTTTAGTATTTTAGTACTGTAAAAATTTTAAATATATATATAAATATATATATATGGATTTGAAGCAGAATTCACATCATGATGGTGCTACTCAGCCTGCTACAAAGATATCGTAATGTGAGCTAGGAATGCGTAAAGGTTTGAGTGACGTTCCTACTTGCCATATACCTCAACACTAGTGTGGCAATAGGACGTTGAGCTGGGGGTGAAAGCTTACAGCATTGTGTACCATCATTCTTTCCAAGTCTCTTTTTATTATTAAAAAAGCATACCTTTTCAATACTTGATTTCTTAGCAAGTATAACTTGAACTTCGACCTTTTTGTTCTAAGAATTCAGGGATATTTCAGCTCATGTTCTCCTTATGCCAACGTGTCACCTGTGTTTATGTAAAATTGTTGTAGGTTAATAAATATATTCTTTTTCAGGGATTTAACCCTTTTATTTTGAATCCCTCCTATTTTACTTGTATATGTCCTGATGTAACTAAAACTAATTTTGTAAATCTGTTGGCTATTTTTATTGTAAAGAAAAGCATTTTAAAAGTTTGGGGGGATCTTTTGACTGTTTCAAGCAGGAAAAAAATTCCATGAAAATAGAATGCACTGAGTTGATAAAGGGAAAACTGTAAGGCAGGAGTTTGGCAAGTGGCTGTTGGCTAGAGTCTTTCAGCTCTCTAAATAAAGATGTTTTCATCCTGTAATCAGATCCCTGAGAACGTCGCTACATGTGAAGACACTTAGGGGTATGGTGTGCAGTCGGCTGCACAGTTCCTTTCTGGTCTAAGTACAGTTTTGCTTACTAACATTTCAGATTCTTAATCGCAGGAGGCCTCTGAGTTTTATTGGTCAAATCTTTATAACATGGCTTTTGTCTTTTAGAAAAATTTCCCCAATTTTTGGCTATGACCAGTTTAAACATTTCAAAAATTTGTGCTTTCCATACATCAAACCACATGATTTTAATATTTTGCATATACCATCTATCTGACCCCAAATATTTGATTACTACATGCACATTTGTTGGCTCTGAGCCAGCCATCCCTATATGAGTATTTGACTTCTATTTCATCCACAGTCATTTGTCAAACTGCTGGCCAACAAGAGAAGGAAGTGGTTTGGGGGTTGGGGAGAGCTTAGTTAGGGAAGAGGAGAGGAGATTGAGTGGCATATTGTAAATATCAGATCTATAATTGTAAATATCAAACCTGCCTCAGTTAGAATGAATGGAAAGCAGATCTCCAATTTGCTTACATAGGAATATCAGGTTGACTCTATAGCCATACTTGAAAATGCTTCTGAGTGGTGTCAACTTTACTTGAATGAATTTTTCATCGTGATTGACGCACAGTGGTATACAGTTCACTTCTAAAGCTAGTAGTTAACTTGTGTAGGAAACTTCTGCAGTTTGACACTAAGATAATGAACTCTGTGTGCATTTTTCTATGCTTTTTTTTAAAACTTAGTTTCATTTCATTTTCATGAGACGTTTGGGTTGTCTGTAAAATCTGAGGATGGTTATAAATACTGTAAGTATTGTAATGTTATGAATGCAGGTTATTTGAAAGCGTTTATTATTATATCATTCCTGATAACGCTATGTGAGTGTTTTTAATAAAATTTATATTTATTTAATGCACTCTAAGTATTGCCTTGTTGAAGTTTCTGTTTACTGCCTGAATTACTGCCACCTCAATGAGGCAAAAGGGAGTAAAATATATTTAAGGTAATATTCCAGGTAATGAAGGCCAAAATATTTCTCTGGTTGAGTAGTCCAGATATTCAGCTTACTTCTTTTCCCCGGCTGCCTTTTCAGCCTGTTCTGTCTGTGTGCGGCCAGTGGGAGTCAGGGATGGAGGGGCAGCACTTCTGCTGGCCTCAGGTGGCCCGTCCCTCCTGGCGTGTGGCCTGTGAGGCCCTTCAGCGACAGCGGGGGCCCCGGGGTTGAGTCCACACAGCTGAGGCTTGAGCCGGCCCTCTTCTCAGATTCTTGTCTTCCTCTTCGCGTCCCCTCTTCCCGAGGAAGATTCCAGTGTCTGGCAAGAGGAGTGGGGAGAGGTGGCCAGGGCAGCCCCAGACAAATGTGCAGGTCCTCACCCATCCCATGGGGCTGCAGGAAGCTGGAGGCTAGGCTATCCTCACCTCCGCCCCTTCTCTGTCGTGCGGATCACCGCCACACAGCACGGTGTACGCCTGCTGAAATACTTCCTAGAAACACAAGATACTGAGCACAGTTACTAATTACAGTTATGTGAGTCTTCCAACCTCCCCCACCCCTCCCCAAACTGTCAGAGATATCATTTTCATCATGCATGAAGTAAGGGAATTCCCTTTCTCGTATTTCTCTCTCTGTTCAGTCTGAGCCAAATTTGATTTAAATAGTCCTTCTTGAGCCCAGGAATGACTGCCATGTAGTAACCTTTGAGCTCGTTGACTAGTTGACCCCTCCAGGGCTCTGCTCAAAGCAGGGCATTAAGAGAAGAAGCAACTTCACTGTTAACAAGCAGTGAGCCAACGATTTGATTTCTTTTTTTCATTTCAACCCTCTAGGGGTGTTGTCAACCCTCGCTTCACCGTCCATCCTCTGGCTGAACGTGGGAAGCTCCTACTCTTCACATTTGCTAGTCTCCACTGCCCAGGGAAAGGGGAATTTAAGATTCTGTGAACTCAAAAGCTTTTCCTGCTAGATCCCCATCCCAATCCCAACTCGGGGAGGCTGGCAATGCTGGTGCGCTGTGAATGAAGGCGCCGGCAGGTGGACTTGAACAGTGACAGCTGGAAAGGACAGGTGAGCCAGCGTCCACAAAGCCCTGTTGGCCCCTGGCCTCCTCTGGAAATGACAGCCAAGAATGAACCTTTCATGACGCAGGCCTGCACACGACTGCCCTTGCTCCTGTCCTGGGCCTCCTGAGTTGGCTGATTGTAAAAACCCTCCTGCTTGGGGTCACACCAGCTTGCCTTGGACTCCCGCCAAGTTCTACTGCTCTGCACTCCGTCTGCTGTGTGAGAACCAGCCTCAGTGAGCAAAGCCCTTCTTATTCATCAAGGCACCTACTCCTCAAGCTGCTGAGAATTTTACGTTGGTTTTGCCGGTTTAAAGGCCATCAGGAGGGGAGTTTCTGGCAGAAAAGGCAGGCTGGGGCATCTCGCCTTTCCTGTCACCATGAGGGGCAAGTGCTTGTTGCATGAGGACACAACTTCAGTCAGGCTGCTGGCTTCCCTGGAAAGGGTGGGGCACTTCCTCCCTGCCCCCTCCCTCCCCTGAGAAATGCTCTCCAGTTGTCACAGCGGTGAGAAAAGATGCTCAGAAGAGAATTGACTGCAATTATAGATTATTTCAGTTTTACCACACTCTTCAGTTTCAAAGAACTAGGATACTTGTTCCCATATATTCGAGGCCCCCTGCCTGCTTTTCCCTCTCTTCCAGGCAATCCCTCACAGATTTCTCTGTCCACTCCGACACTAACGCCTGAAAGCAGCCGCCTTTTTCTTGCATATACTCTCTGTGACTGCGCTTTCTTTCCGGGCTTCCTTTCATGCTGTTTCAAAAGGAACTTCTCTACTCAATTTGACATCTTACTCTCTAATCAAGTCTGAATTCAAACTGAAATGAAATTTCTACTTAGGTCTTGAGTACAATGGTAGTTACATAAAGATGCCCCACTTCTTCCCTGCCCCCTCAAGAAGGAATCAGGTCATTTAAATCCGCTGAATTAAGGATTTAGAGGCATAGTCACTGAGCAAGCTTTTATCCCTGCACAGAGGGGTCACGTTAAGAGAGATGTGGGTGTTGATGCAGGTGGAGCCCAGCACTTCCCTCTCTCTCTCTCTCTCTCTCTCTCTCTCTCTTTCTCTCTCTCAGCCTGGAGAGAGAGAGAGACACACACACACACACACACACACACACACACACGGGGCGGGGGTGGGGGGTAGCTTCAGGGAGCACGATGAAGTACAAGCCACGGACGAGTGAAAAGCACCGGCTTTAGCGCAGCCCTGCAGTCTTACTGGCTGTGTGCCACCAAGCCTCATCGGGGAAAATCAGAACAACAGTGCATTCCCCGTGGGGACGTAGTGAGGACTAAGGAGAGTGGAAAGCTTCAAGCACAGAGTAGAACAGACATTGTTCTCACAAAGTTTTCCTCTATCTCCCTCCCTCCTCTTGCTTCACACTAGGAGGATCATTCCACTCACCATACCTTCTGCTCACCTGGCTGACTCCTGAGCCCCTCCCTTCTCCCCAGGGGCTGACCCCTAATTCCCTCACCTGACAAAACAGGTTTACATAACAACAGAAAAGCTCTTCATCATGAAGCATCACTAGGACCTCAAAGCTACAGAGAAGACAGTGACAAGACAGGAAATAACTCCCTGTCCTGAAATCTCATAGAGCCTCAAACCGATTTTCAGATGAGTGACTAATCCCTGGTGACTGAGAACTCCAAGAGTTGGAAAGACCTTGCAGTCTCTAACTTACCAAATACTCAAGGACTAGTAGAAGGCTCAAAGGATTTAAGAGTTAAAAGCAGAAGAAAAAAAATCAAAGAGAAAAAAAATAAATGAGGAAATTATATTTTTATTTCCATTACTTACAATGTCACCTACGAAGAGATGTATTTCATGGAATTAATGTTTATAATATCCATGTTCCAAATATGTGTATTAGAATAAAATATTTTTAAGGCAGAGTATGTTAAAATGGAAGGGAAACACTAGTTATGTTTTTTTAAATATTATGTATAACTGACATTAAGAGAATTTCATTTTTGTATTCCCTAGGAGATGACACACAACAAAGAAAGCTCTGGGCTCTGGTCCTGGCTCTGCCAGTTGCTGGTTGTGTGACCCTGGGCGAGGTGCTAGTCCTTCATCAATTTCTGCATCTGGAGAATGAAAATAATACCTATCTCACAGGTTTTTAAGAGGAACAAATGAGTTTATTTAAAGCTCATTGAAAGAACTAAAAAAAAAAGCCAGCTATTATAATTATGTTAATTAGTCAGCTGAAGCTGCTATTTCATACCATAGTGGTTTTATTTTCTGCATATTTTCAAGTCATTAGTCAGAAAGAGGAAATACTTACTAACTGTACAAAATCATGAATAAGCAGACTTGACTGAGATCTTAGAGGTCATCTTTCCCAACTCTGGTTTTATATAACTATTCATTCATTCATATATACATTTGCAAATAGTTTTGAGCATCCACTCTTAAAAATGTTGTCAGGCACGTTTCTCGGAGTTGGGCATCCAGCAATGAACAGAACCAGCAAGTCCCTGTGCTCTGGAGCTTCCTTCCCAGTTGGGACAGAGATACAGAGTAAATATGCAGGTGAGTGCTGTGAGCAAAGCAGAGTGAGAGGGAGGGCGGAGGGCTTCCTAAATATATGTTGGCCAAGGAAGTCTTACTGATAAGGAAACGCTTGATGGCACTGAAGATACGAACCATGTGGATATTTGAGAAAGTATATCAGGCATAGAGAACAGCAAGTACAAGGCCCTAAAGTGGGCTCACGAACACAGGAAGGCCATGGCTGGAGCCAAATGAGCGATGAAGAGAGTGGTGGAGGATAAGGTCCGATGGTGGAAGGCCCCCTTGTAGAGCATGGTAGGTCCTTCCACCTTTACTCTAAGTAGATGATGGTATTAGAACATTCTCAGCAGAGGAGGAACATGAGCTTATTTGTGTTTTAAAGGATAACTCTGTGTTAAAAATGGATTTTAAAAGGCAAAGACAGATCCAAGTTTATGAAGATAGAGGTCACTTCAAAATTTTAATCCAAAACATTCTTCTCCAAGACACATAAAAATAAAACTGTCTAAAACCAAAGACAAAGAGAGAATTTGAAAAGAGGCAAGTGAAAAAAAATTCTCTCATACAAAGGAACCCCCAAAAGGCCATCAGCACATTTCTCAGCAGAGACCTTACAGGCCAGGAGGGAATGGGATGATATAGTCAAAGTGCTAAAAGAAAGGAACTGGCAACCAAGGATGCTTTACCCAGCAAAGCTGCCCTTCAGAACTGAAGGTAAAATAAAGACTTTCCCTAATAAACAAAAGCTGAGGGAATTCATCACCACTAAACCAGCCTTACAGGAAATGCTAAAATGAGTTCTTCAAGTTGAAAAAAAAAGGATGCTAATTACTTACATGAAACATATGAAAATATACCACATATGGTAAAGTTAAGCATATAATCAGATTCAGAATACCCTAATACTGTAATATGGTGATGCCAAATACTTCACTCTGGAATAAAAGTTAAAGCACAAAAGCATGAAAATAGCTACAGCTTCAACAATTTGTTAATGGATACACAATAAAAAAGGATGGTAAATGATGACATCAGAAACACAAAAGGAGGGAGTAAAAGGACAGAGTTCTTATACGGGGTCAAAGTCAAACTGTTCTCAGCATAAAGCTGGCTGTTCTGTCTGCAACATGTTTTATTAATCCTCATGGGAACTACAAAGCCAAAATCTACAAGAGATACGCAAAGATAAAGGAAAGAGAATCAAAGCATTCCACCAGAGAAAATCATCAATACATAAAGGAGGGCAGCAAGAGAGGGACAAAGCAACAAGGAAACTTTAAAACAGCTGGACAACAATTATAAAGAGGGCATTAGTCAGTCCTTACCTATCAA